AATAAAATGAACGTTTGCATGTAACCTAACTTGAAACTTTCGGCTGTGTCGGTCATTTTGTTCCTCCCTGTATAAATATTGCTCAAAAATATTTACAAGACGATTTCACAAGGATTTTGCATTGGTCGCATGACTCAGGTCTGGTGCTGAATACAAACAAAACTAAAGCGATGTATGTAAGCTCAAGTCAGAATAGATTAACGAACATAATTCTCTGCTGGCCCATACTCATGACTGCCTTCATAATATGCGGTACTCTAACTGTAATTGTCCTCATAACCAAATAGTAGAACATTTCAGATACCTAGGACTAGTAATTGATGATCGTATGAAATGGACGAACCATATCGAAACTGTTTGCGATAAACTAAGAGCTATCCTGGCAAAGCTTTGTCTCATTAGAAGTAAGTGCCTTATAAAATGTTGTTGACACTTTATATTGTACTCGGAGAATCGATCGTATCTTATGGCCTAAGTAGTTACGGCCGTACTTATACGACACACCTCGATAAAATATACGAACTTCAGTTGCGTATATTGAAAAGCATCGTTTCCTACAAAATCAAAGAAAAATTATCAAATGAGTCCCTGGGTCACTTTCACTATTGCAATCTATTGCCTGATAGTGGAAAATTATAATAAAGACGAACTCATAGTTGCTCGCACATACACAAAGGCCACTCGTCAAGCATTAAGTCCAAAGTGTATAGTACCAAATTACAGAAATATGTATGGAAATTTTTTGCTAAAGTATCAGGTAGGTACCCGCCCTTTTGAATAATATAAAAATTACATTAAACTCAAAAACATTAAAACTAAAATTAAACAATATTTCATTAAAAAACTAATAACGACTATATAACTTTAAAACAAAAATTAATAACTACTAATGCATGCGTAATTGTGTAGGGAAAGTAATGTTTCGGTTACCAAAACTTATTTATTTATAACAAATATAGCACGTACTTACATGTATTTATATTTACATCTTATATGATGATAATAATAACCACGTTATTTGCAGCTATGTCGTTGTCACTAATATGCTATTATTGGTTTAGGATATATATTTGTCTGATCTTCTACAAATATTATGATATTGTGACAAAGAAACATCCTATATATGCTTCATGTGGGACTCGACATTTAAGTTGTTAAACGTGCAAAAAACGGATTGAGTGCGAATCGGCGGTACATGGAAAAACTTTTGTAAGTTTATGTCGTACCGTTCTGATGTATTAAATTATTGTATTCGTTTTGTTGAATAAATAAAAAATAAATAAATAAAAATTAACGATCCAGTTATTAAAGGAGTAATACCCCATTCAAACATTTTTTTTGGAGAACTGCTCTTTTAAAATAATGTAGGTTAATGTTAGACTGATATTTCTACAATAATTAAGTAAATTTTACACTCGGTTTCTTAATTGAGAATTTAAAGTTAAACGTCTCAAACTAACATTACTTAGTTTTCGTTTCCGATTTTAGTTTTTTGATGATCAGTTGATAGCAGTTTGATAAAAGTAGGACTATTTGACTTGTGAAATTAAAAAAACTTAGGTTATTGAGAATAATTAGTAGAAATTTTCTACTTTTTACAAATTAGAAATCGTCTGTTAGTCTGTAAATCGATTTAAGAATTTTGACTGCCTTGTTTATTGATTGTCTGGTAGAATTTGCATGAAAGCAATCTTATAAACCACAAACTAGTTTATTTCGTTTTTAGAAATGAAGAAGTCAATGACCCATTAAAAACTTTTTCTTAGTACGTCCCAAAAACAGCCGACTCAGGGTTGAAAACACTCATTTTTTTTTTCAAAAACTTTGTAATTTAATATCTCCGAAACTATTTGACCTAGACTTATATTTTTTTACATCATATTAAAGACAAATAGTTCTCTCCAGGAACCTCGGGAGTGTCGGTCGTTCTGTTCCACCGAGTATAAATAGAGTTAATCATAAATCTAGGAAATGAGTCACATTCTGAGGAGGATATGGAAATTGAAGACATGTCTAGTAATAAAGAAGAAGATATTAATTAATTTTGTACTATAACGGTGATAATGAGAATATTTTTTTGGCTTGTTTATTGAGAAATGGTAATTTGCTTATAAAACTGTATCGCAAATAATAAAATTTAATAAACACTTTCAAATATGAATTTATTTTTGTTTAACTAAGAAATAGAGAAACAACATTATAAATACCGCCATTACATTGATTAAGATAGATTCTAACATATTATCCAGAGATGTATCTGTCCTAAATACCTCATGTGCGTCTTGTCAATCGCGCCCTCCCCTGTCCCATCGCCTGCATACCTCTGGCGGCGACTAACACTTCCGCGCACACTATAATAGTTGTAGATCAGCAACAGAAATATGGAATGATAATTAAATGACACCAAAAACCGTATTAATAATAATGTACACACGGATGCATGTCAGGCTACTACACCTAACAAATGAGGAAGTACCTATTTAAGGAAAAAAAGAAAGCACTAAAAACACTTCACTAGATGGCGACCCTATCAAAAGTTGATTTTTACAGGAAAGAATGGACCAAAGATAGTTATTTCCGTCCGTTTTAATTAAAATATTAAAAAAACTGAAATTTGTACAAATAGAATATGTGCTGTTTATTGAGTTTTAAAATTAATTTACTTTTCTACATGAAATAAAACCAGAAGAGTTGTCATGGAGACATCAAGAAAGTACCGTAGTGACATCTAGTTTGATTTTGGGAACTATATAAAGTTTTTTTTTTAATACTCCTTCATTCATGACGTTAGACTAAAGAAAGTAGAATTGTCAGTGTTGTTATGGATCTGATAACTCGGATTAATATCAAATTGAAAATCAATTAGTTCGATTTACGAATAAACAACTCGATTAATATAAATGAATAAATTTATTTTTATCTGTATAAAGGAAAACGGAAACTAACTTGTGAGTTCAAGTGAACATTGAAAAGGTTTCTTAAAAGTAATGGAAATCTATATAATTAATGCAGTGAAATTATTAAAAGTGGCATTTAGCTACAGTACCTATACAATAATATTACCGTGAAATAGTTTATATTAATAATATACTTATGCCTTAGCAGATCTAGGCATTTTTCATTATAATATTTAACAAAAGTTCTGAAAAAAATAACAACTAGTTAAGTTAGTTTTGTTGCTTAGTTAAACTTACAGCAACAAAACTACATCAAGTCTCAATAATGAGTTTATATTATGTGTGGTGAATGAATGAATAAGGTTTATTAATCAGCAACACAGGTCATAAAAACGCTAATTATGATAAAAAATCCATATACTTACCCGATATGTATCATATATACTAGTTAAATTTCAAAATCACAAATACGTGTCTTTAAGTTTAAACGATATATTTTTTTATATTAACTGTACGTGTACAGCTGTTATATTATCGCTACGGAACTTGCATGACGACGACGGACGATGAGCTAGGTATTATGACAATTCGACAATTCGTATGTGGTTTTTTGATTATTATAATAGTATTCTCAATAATATATTGACTTCCTACTTAACCTACTCTTGAAATCAATTAGATTGAAATATATTACTTATTAAGAATATGAATGTTTTAAAATTAAATTACACAGTAATCGAAAATTTTATGTCTTGTTATTTTTGATATTGTAATGGAAAGTGACTTCATAGTCTAATTAAGTGACATTCTAATAAGAGTTCTCTGTTGTAAATAAAAAAGGGGAAAGAAGCAGCCTTTGCCGAGTTTCTTGCCGGTATTTCTCAGTGCAAGTACTATGTAACTACCTAGACCGAATTGATTTTGATACTAATATTAATATCATTCGAAGTGTGGATGCAAAATGGCAATAATAAATGTATCTAATGTTTCTCATTTCATTTGTTTTTCTGGTAGTGTTTACTATACTATTATCGATATTGTGCTATCTGTATTTTTATTTTCATATGACGTCATGCCGTTGTTATTTAGACAAGATTCCAGCGCATTAGCAATTTACGGGAATTATACAGGTGCATTTTTGTTCACTATACAGGAATATTTTTTTCCAGTGCAAAAATTTTTATTGGTGATTCAGTATCAGTAATAGAATACTTTTCCATAATTAGTTTAATTTTTTTTTTATATTTCTATCCCTATCGAAACGGTAGAATATGAACACATTTTTTAAAATAACACTTCAATGATAACGTCTTCTCTTGCGTATACCACCGTGCATCCCCGCCGCGCCCGGTAGCCCCCCGCCACAGCCCCCGCCGCCCCGCCGGGACCGAGTGACGCGCGCGACAGTGAGACCCATACGCACGCGCCGATGTGACGTGTGATTAAATTACTTAAAGTTTAAAATAAACTTTACAACAATACAATAATGTTGAATCAAAACAAATACCTAACTAATTACTTACCATGTATTTTAATATTTGTTTAAAATGAAGTCCACGTCTGTCCAGACATAAACGTGCACATTTCATTAAATTGTCATTTATTTTATTTAAAACACATATCCAAAAAAAATATATCCTGTATATCCCAAGCAGATGGCTAATCTATTTTTAGTTCATAATTAATTACATTTGCAGTTCATACATATTTGTATTCATTTTAAAGTAAGATTTTATAAGAAACACGAAACGCTGTCACATTTATTAATTTTCTATACTCAATTACTATTATTAAATCAGAATGAAAATTTCAACGAAAATACTATCCGAAAATCGCTAGAGACATTTCGTTCACTACACAATTTTTTATTTTTTTAATACTTCCTTATTGTTTTAATTCATTAATCACTTGCGAATCAATTTATTAGTTAAGTAATTAAGACCATCAATACATATGTAAATTTAATAGTAATAACATTTGTAAATGTCAATTTATTTCAATTTTCAATCATAAATTAACTATCTAATATCAATTGAATGGTAAGTGAACTATTTGTGGACATCACTTGGAATTACTCGGCGTTTTTTTTGACAAGTCTCACGTACTTTTCGTAATCGGAATGACATTTTAATTTTGTGTGGAAAAACGCAAGTGAAATTCCGCAAATAAAAACAGTGTCTGAAAAACTAAAAGAAACACCATGGCTCCCGTCGATCAGGATGTAGAAATGAAAAACGTTGAAAGTCCTGCAGCTGCTAGCGATGTCGAAATGACTGAAGTGAAAAAAGATGCTGATGTACTGAGCGTCCAGGATTTAAGAGAGCATGTTAGACAAATCGATAAAGCAGTAAGCTCAAAAGAACCAAGATTCGCAATGAGAGTTCTACGTTCCCTACCCAGCACAAGAAGAAAGCTAAATGGCAACGTTTTACGAGCTATTATCAGTCAACTTTATCCATCAAGCGCTGACAAAGAGACTTTACTTGGATTTGTCGAAGCGCCATTGCCTAGTGCGGTAGACATTGAAACACCGCGTTCAAGGAGTGCTCCTAAGACGCCAGCACCTGAAGTTGACGTGTATATTCATCTTTTGGTATTGCTCCGCTTATTAGATACAAACAAGCTAGAGGAAGCCACTGAATGCTCTCAGCAGCTAATGAACAAGGTAACTGCTCAAAATCGTAGAACTCTAGATCTTATTGCTGCAAAATGTTATTTCTATCATTCAAGAGTCTTTGAATTGACAAACAAGTTGGATCTTATAAGAGGCCTACTACATGCTCGTCTTCGCACATCCACACTTCGCAATGATTATGAGGGCCAAGCAGTGCTTATAAATTGCCTTTTGAGAAACTATTTACATTATTCATTATATGATCAAGCAGATAAATTAGTAAGTAAATCAGTTTACCCTGAAAATGCAAGTAATAATGAGTGGGCAAGATTTCTTTATTACTTGGGTAGAATAAAAGCAGCTCGGCTTGAATACAGCGATGCTCATAAGCATTTAGTGCAAGCTTTGCGGAAAGCACCTCAGACTGCAGCTGTTGGATTCCGTCAGACAGTGCAAAAGCTAGCCATTGTAGTTGAACTACTATTGGGAGATATACCAGAGCGTGCTATTTTCAGACAAGCTCCGCTCAGAAAAGCTTTGGCGCCATACTTTCAACTGACCCAAGCTGTGCGCTTAGGAAATCTTCAAAGGTTTGGAGAAGTTTTAGAAAATTATGGACCACAGTTCCGCAGTGATCATACATTCACTTTGATCCTACGTTTGAGACAGAATGTTATTAAAACTGCTATTCGTTCTATTGGATTGTCATATTCTCGTATATCACCGAAAGACATTGCTAGAAAACTAGGCTTAGATTCTGCTGAAGATGCTGAATTTATTGTAGCTAAAGCTATACGTGATGGAGTTATTGAGGCTACCCTTGATCCTGAAAAGGGGTACATGAGCAATAAAGAAAGTTCTGATATTTATTGCACAAGAGAACCACAATTGGCTTTCCATCAACGTATATCTTTCTGTTTGGAACTCCATAACCAGAGTGTGAAGGCTATGAGATATCCACCCAAGTCCTATGGCAAGGAACTTGAAAGTGCTGAGGAGCGTCGTGAAAGAGAACAGCAAGATTTGGAACTGGCTAAAGAAATGGCTGAAGAAGATGATGATGGATTCCCTTAAAAATATATTGTTCTTATTAATATCCTCTGAAATATAAATAACACTTTGTTAGAACTGCTACTTACTTATCAATTGAATTATATTCCTTTCTGATATATTTGTATTTTTCTGAGTCCCTTAGTTTATTTATATGTTTACTATTACTAGAAAAATAGTTGTTGATATCATCAAAAGTTGATTTTCCTTGTCATTTTTGAATAGTTATACTAAATTTTTTTTGTTAAGTTTACTTCTATCAGCTAAGTTATACAGATAATTGAAAACACAGTAGAACTGGCTTATAACTAAATTTAGACTAAGTTGTGTAACAAAATTGCCACCACTATGCAATTTTTATGCTAATTTTCAGGTAATAAGATAATGTTTATAAATAGCAATAATGGAGAGTGTATTACATTTGACAATTAATGATTTTGCATAAAAACTTTATAAGTAATTTTCGCAAACTTAATTTAGGACGGCAAAGGGTTCCTCCCTTATTTTCACCATGTTTTGCCCATATTTTACCTGTCATGATATGTGTATTTTCATTTTTGACATATATCCAAACATTTTGTGCTATCAGATTAATTATTAAGTTTTTATAGCTTGAACTAGATGGCGCAGGTATTTTAAAATCTGGCAGAGACTTGGGACAATACCTATGCGTAAATCGACGAGAGTCTCGTAGTATCAGTGTGGCTCGTAGGCATAAATTAAATTGATAAATTAATTAAAAAAACAAATAATAAGGGTCTTTTATAAGCAATACCGTGATTGCGACTTGAAAATTGAGCATACCACATTGTATAATATTAAGATTTTTCTCCATGCACTTTGCACAGACTAATGTCGTGTTTAGGCTTTCCGTACCTAAAGGGTTAAACGAGTCGGGGTCCTATTACTACGGCTCTGCTGTCCGTAAGTCTGTCACTAGTTTGAATCTCATGAACCTAGCTTATTATGTTGGGTATGTATATTAACTATCTAGTTAAAATAACTGATAATTAGATGGTCGAAATTTTCACAGATGAAGTATTTCTGTTACCGCTTCAACAACAAATACTAACAACCAGAATAAAATAAATATTTAAGGTGGCTCTCATAGAACTTACGTGATTTTTTGCTCGTTTCCGGTACGGAACCCTACGTACTCGAGTCCAACCGCACTTGACCGGTTTTTTTAATGGGGAAGTATTAAAAAAAACATTAGTTCCCGAAATCACTAGATGGCACCACGGTATGTTCTTGATTCCTCCATGACAACCTTTGCGGTTTTCTTTCAAGTTTAAAAGTAAATTAGTTTTCAAAACTCAATAAACATCTGATATTCTATTTGTACTTTTTCTTATTTGTATTGATATCTAATTGTAAGTTTCGAACTTTTTCCATTCGTTTCCTGCAAAATCAACTTTTGCTAGAGTCGCCATCTAGTGGAGGAGCTTTTTAGTACTTTCGTTTTCTTTAAATACTTCCTCATTAATTCAGTAAATATAAATAGGTATAACAACAATATGATAACAACGAAGTAGAATTGGCTACAAAGTCCTACAATACATATATAGCTGGATGTTAAATTCTAATCGAATTAATATTTTTAACCATAGATCTGATATTTTTTATGTCAATATTCTCTTTGGTGATAACGGTACCATGACAACTGTTACATTGATAAAACATTGTTAATAAAGATATCTTTGAGTTTATTTATAAAATAACCTTTATACCTATCTAGTAGTGCTTGCTAAATAAAAATGGTCGAGTTCAGCCCAGCGAATATGGAAAAGTTGGCGGAGCTGCTTAAGCCTCCCGAACCGGAAGTTCTGCAAGGAGAAGATTTGGGAGTGACTAGTGAGATCATCTATTAATTTAATATATATGTCGCAGTAAGATAGATAAAGCCGTAATATAGTTATATCCCTAGGGATATAATTATATACCGTAACATAGTTATACGGAAGCGATTCATTACTATATCACTAGGTATATAGTTATAAAGCAGTCCAAGTTTAGTGATATACTTATATTACTAGATTTAGTTTAATGTTATAAATAATTTACTTGATTAAGCTTAGTGAAATAGAAATCTACCATATATAATTAAATAAAACAATATTATATTGGTTTTATCCTTAATTAAAAATCAACTTTATGTATCCTGCAGTTAGTTACAATACTTTGTGACATTAACGTGTATTAAAGTAATTTCAATTATAATTAAAACTATCATATTTTTTGGAATTTAAACAACAATAACAATTCAATTAAAACTATGTAATCAAACATTAAATATTTTATAGCTAATGAATAGTTTGGCATATCTTTATTTTTTATCAAATAAGTTGAGATCTTGGTTTCTTTATCATCATCACTAGCCCTTTTACGGCCACACTGCAGGGGCTCAGGCCTTCCTTATGGATGGTTAAGGAGGATGGGCCACAACCCTCCACGCTGCAAATGCAGCCGGGACCAATGGCTTAACGTGCCTTCCGAAGCACGGAGTAGCTCGAGTTAATAATTTGTAACGACAACGATCGCGGGCCGCGGCGCTTATCCACTACGCAACCAAGACCATATTTCTCTCAGTGACAAGTTTTCATGTCGTATAGGATCATTCAAAGTAATGTTTGAAAGCTGTATTGCATTTCTGGGTAACCGATCTTTCAGGATACCAACTGATGTTCCAATTTTATCACATTCATTTCGCTTTTCTAAAACTTTTCCTAATACATTTTATTGATCCAATAGTCCACGATCTATCTTTGGTATCTCTATAAGAACTGAATATCCCACGTCAATGTCAGGAAATTTGTGTGATGAGTGGGTTTTCATTTTTTGTGCGGCTTTTCTTAAGCTTTCGGCAGCTATTTCACTAAACTAAATCTAGTAATATAAGTATATCACTAAACTTGGACCGCTTTATAACTATATACCTAGTGATATAGTAATGAATCGCTTCCGTATAACTATGTTACGGTATATAATTATATCCCTAGGGATATAACTATATTACGGCTTTATCTATCTTACTGCGACATATATATTGCATTCTTCATGAGCTGAAATCTTATCTCCTGCTTAAGCCGTATTCCTCTTTGCTGAGGGTCGTGATCCCCCCGAAAAGACAGTTTTTCTCGTGTGTGATTTCTCCATCTGCTCCTGTCCTTGGCCTTGGCAATATGGAGAGCGTCGTGGAGTATTGTGCCGAGTGTAGCGCGAACCTGGTCAGACCAACTCGTAGGGATGTGACCCCTAGGTAGTTCGTTTCCCATCCACCGTGCCGGTAACCATTAGTTTATCGAGATTGTCTCCATCCTTGCAAGCAATGTGACCAAAAAAATCCAGAATTCTTAGCAAGCAGATAGTGTAAAGCCTATCTTAAGGATAGATTGGTTTGTACGGTTCCACGGAATGTGTAGCAACTTCCGCCAGTAACACATCTCCAAGGCGTCAGAACGGTCTCGATCTGCCTTTCTAAGAATCCACATGTCCCAACCGTAGTGGATATAACATTTTGGTTATGCCGATTCTCCTTCTGACTTCCTTTTCCCAAGAGCCTCTGTTGTTGATGTTAGCGCTCAGATAAAAAAATCATCCACCCTTTCCAGGGATAAGGCACCGATGTAAATACTCCGCATATAAACGTTTGTAAAAGTACTACTACGAGTACTACCAGTCTCGTGTTGGTACGAGATTTGTAGTACTAGTCAAATATTTGGGAACAGTAAAGACGCTCATATTGATATTCTAGTACGCTTATTTTAGTAAGGATCTCAAAACGGTTTAAAATAGAAATCTTTGTTATCATAACTTTTTTAATCTATTAAAATATATATATAGTCTAATGAAATATATATAGTCTTGCCATAAATATTGATACATATAAAATGATAGTACTTATAATGAATGTAACATTAATTAAGTCTCCCTTGGATGCAATAGTCTTTTAAATGTTGAGTAACTTATATGTTACGCTTAAGACATAGCATCCGTAGGTAAAAGAATTTTTAAAATCGGTTCCGTACTTTCGGAGCTTATACAATGCAAAACAATCAAATATTTCCTTTTACAAAATTATTCTAAGTTATATAAATTATCAATCAGATTACGAAATAACATCAACCCGAGGGAAGTTGCCGGCTATAGATACTGCTCAGAAAACCCCTAAAAATATAGAAGAATATGAAGAGCAGCAGGACAAAGAAGCAGAGGAATTGAGTCATAGTGGTGGAACCGTAGGAAGTCGGAAAACTCCAGAGTTCACCATGAATTATCAACAGTCTGTGTCAGCAGAAGATGTCTTTTTACAGGTTTGCCTTTCACTCTTTGTTGGTTTTAGTTGAGTCGTGTAGAAATATTTGTTTTTTTTTGCATCTGGATGGGTTATCTAATGGTTTACGATTCTCTAATCTTCGGACTAATCTTCGCGGAGATCCATGGCGGAGGCATATGCTCAGATGTGAGCGTCTTAAGGCAATAGTGTGATTTTAGTTAATATATTTTTTTATACCTACAGGGATTTATAACTTCACAAGTTAAGTAATGCAATAGTAAGATACTCGTAAATAGATGTCCTAATCGAGCTTTATCTATCTAACTGTGACGCATAAGTACAATACGAGACTCCAATATACTTATGTTTAAACTGCAAAAAAATATCTCAAAATGGATTCATCTCTCACATCGCGTTGTTTGTATTTGACTATGCCGTTTTGTTTGTAAATAAGTAATTAATATAATTAAGCGTGGCATAATCTTGCAAGAATATGTTGATTTGTGTATACCACTGTACGCTCTAACTTGTTGACTTGACAGCATTCAAATTTCAGATCGGGTCGAAAACACCATCATCGGCTAGCTGCGAGAACTTGATCGTTAGAATCAAAATGCCCGGTGATAAGAAAGAGAATGTTGATTTATCGGTTGACAATAACAGCGTGGCGGTACACTCCTCACGGTATCAACTGAAACTGCCGTTACCTCACAGCATTAACCCAGATACGTCTAAAGCGACCTGGGTCTCTACTGACGAGACTCTAGTTTTGACCCTGAAGCTGGATAGAGAATTTGATTTCATCAATTTCTAAAGAACTTTTATTTATTAACAAAGCTGCCTTTCATAAAAGTTGTGTTTTGTTTCAAAAGCAAACGAATATATCGGTCTATTAAAGGTCGAGTATGTATTTTTAATTTAAATATAGATAATATAATAAATGACATGGTTCGGTTTGTCTTATTTATGTTAATAAGTCCTTTTAGGGATTGCTTTTGCCAATCTTAATAAATTCCTCAATAAATAGAAATGTGTTTTATATTGAAAGCAATGACAACAAAGACATAACGTAGTCGTTAATTTTCTGGTATGATGTCACTGCATTTATGTTGATGTTGATAAATCTTAATTTCTAATGGTCACGGAAATCATAATTTCAAGATCATTTGAGACTTGGCCGCCGCATACTTTTCATAGAACATTATATAGTATTTATGGTAGAGCGATGTGGTTGAACTACCGCTATGCTGGCTGAACCAATTGACTGGTGGATGAATAACGGTTGCACTTTTAATAAAAAAGGCATTTAACATTTAGTTTATTGAAATGTGACGTCACACGATTTTTTTTAATGGTCGACCTCATATCGGTTCTTGTAATCCACAAATGATAAATCGCATGTTAATTCTGCAAACATTAAATATACACAAAACACTTAAAATATACATACCTCATAATTTGTCTTTATAACTGTCAAGTAGCCAAATTGTTAAGGTAACTACGAACAAAGTATACTTATCATTAAAGGTTTAATTTTCTTTTAAGCAAATATCCATATATATTTAAACAAATATTAGACCACCGTTAATGATCATTTTTTTGTATAATTTTCCCAAAAAAACAGATTTTCATAAAAAATATAAGTAGGTAGGTATATTCTATTCAATGCCCACATCATAGTTGATTCTTTGCTGGGGTTGCTTTCATTCTGGAGGTGAAAAATGTTTAATGAAAATAACTCTGCTATATCGCCGGGGGACCGTTCTGGTTCTGTGTCACATTGTAAGAACGGGGCTGCAATGAGTTAAACCAAGTTCAAAAATAAAATTCTTTTATTTTGGTTCGGATTTGTCAGTCGTGTTTTTGTTATATCTATAGGTACTAATATTATGAAGTGGGAATGTTTGATTGTTTTTTTGTTTGATTGGGTCCAAAACCGATTTTAATATGTTTTTTATTTCCCGGAAGCTTCATCATACGCATATGACATAGGTTATACTTTACGCGAGGAACTAGTAAGAAAACTTGTAGTTGGTTATATAAACTAAACTCCTAATTCAATTTTGAATATGGCTTACAGTTTACACAGAAATCGATAAACGAATATTCTAAAAGACTTTTTTCGAAATTATCCTTTTCCATTTTGAAGACGGTTAAAAAGATAACAACATATTTTTAACATGCAAAGTCCAATAAAAACTACAGGTAGGTAATGTTTATAAAACTTTTTAGTTCCCTTCCAAGCCTGTTATTAATACTGATTTTTTGCTTACATTAACGTAACGAGTGTGTTAAATTGTGGATAATTTAACGAGCGCCAATGATGGTCGTGATCCTACCATTGTAAATATAGTTTATTCTTATTCAGACCATCGCAAGATACGGTGGTGAGACTCTTAAGTGGTAATCACACCGTTGTTGCATATTTTTTTTCTTTAATTAAAGTGCCTATGAGTTACGCTATTGTTTACAAATGACGAGCATCTGTGAGTAGTGTTGTGATTACAGAATTTGTTGCAATTTTTTTCTCACACTATATTTTTTGATCAATCGGTGAGTGAAATATTTTTGTATAAGATGTAGATTTATAAGATAATTAATAATACTTTTATATAGATAGAAAGATATCTGAAAAATGACAATTTACTTAATGTATGTTTATGACATATAAATCTAATTTTATAATCGTTTTCTTTTAATACTTCAATATTATTTTTATATAAAATTTGTATTCTATTTTTATATAAAAAATATATTAAACTTTTTATTAAACTGCATTAAATTTCTTGTTATGAAATCGAACTTTCAGTATTATTATTTTTCAATTAATTAGGCTTTATATATTTTAATGAATGGCTGCTTGTGATATGGCCATTGTCCTGACTATATTTAGCTATCTACTCTTGTATAATACGTTGTCAATAAAGGGTTGTCAAATAATGTACAGATTTTTGTTTAAATTTATGGAAATATACAAAATAAAATTCACAATAGTAATAAAAAGAAACTATAATAATATAATTATAGTAATAAACTATACGATTTTGACTAAAATAAATCGTTATAGTAAAAAATAATTGCGATCAAGTGTCCTTATACAAAAAACAAAAAATAACGGCTTTCAAATGTTTTTGTACAAACAAACAACATCCCAATAAGTTGTTTGAAAATATGAAAACTAAATTTGTGATGTTTTCAAGTTTTCTCTATAGAAAAAACATATGGAAGTAATTTATTAAAAATAGTTTTTGATATGCATATTGCATCAATGAGATAGTCATTGATGGGCGCGTTAATTTCTTGTTTGCTATTTGTTTTTAAGATCAGCTTTATCGTGATTACATATCTATTGAAATAAACTAAATTAATGATTAAACCCATGACCGAAAAACAGTATAGTCCTATTAAAAAGTCAATTGCCAGTTGTCTCCCAAAGAAAAAGATGTAGTGATAACCCTTAAATAAAGATTCAATCACAGACACTGGCGTGGCTGGTATCACGAAAAATTATGATTGATTATAATGATTCATTCAAATAGTATGGCGTGGCCTTCCTAGGCCGTCAATCACTGAAATATTTCGTTGGTACGAGTATTTAATATTACATAACGCATAACTATAATAAAATAAAGGCACGAGAATTTAGCTCCAGAATGGGATGGAGCTTTCCCTCATGAAAAGAAGAATATCACATTTAAAGTACCTAAAGAGTAAAAGGGCAGGTCTACCGCGTAACACGACTTGACTTCGATTTGATTGCTATAGGATTAAATATAAATGCACTCAATGTTTTATCCATAATAATATTTAGACAAGTTAATATCAACTCCAATTTTCCGTGCTATGATTTATTACAACTAGCAAATATCTTGAGTGCATTGTGTAGATCTACTTGATAACTCGATTGACTTGCATTTGAATCTAAACTTACATCGATTTCCTTGACTCTAGGTTTAATCGAAACGCACACAATATCCTATAGGTACTGTAGGTACTTAATGAACATACAACACGTTACAGTTTGATCGAATCCAATGTTACGAAGGGGAGTCAATGTAGTTACGCGGTAGGCCTGCTGTTTTATTATTCTGCAAATAGAACAGAACTGCATGCATGTCGGACACATCCTCGCGGAACCAGTGCGTATTTAAGAAATGTCAATGACTGCAATTGCAGCTGAGACCAACCGTTTAACAGGCAAAGGTCTTGGTAAATGGAAACCCTAAGGATTAGTTAAAAAAATATTTAGTCACCTATCGTATGTAACCAACCGTTATGAAGTTTATCTTAAACCAGAATAAATAACAGTTATAATTGTACTTTTTGGAGTTTGTTGCAGTTATTAATATCTGCCGATATTTGTTATATATTGGCTTTATATTTATGCACGCCTTTTATAAGATTGGCTACAATATTTTTATGATAGAAACAATAATTGTTACATTTGACTTCCAGCTAAATTTCAATAGTTCGTTTGGTAGTATAACGATGTCGTGTGCTACGTGGATTAATGCGCTCGTTATTTTTAATGCACTGGTATTACTGCATAGTTCAAAGACGTGGGGCAATGATCGACGTGAGTAATATATTTTTATAAGTATGTTTATGTTACCCATAACCGGTTGAAACCACTTTTGTCTGTGAAAATGTGTCAAAAGTAGTACCTATTGATTGAAAACCAATCACTGATTTGTCTCGACACACGTTTGTTCTGACTTTAGATCAATGTCTCCAATTATGTTAATTTTTAAAACCACTTCTGATTTCAAAAATATTTTGGCAATGGTTATTTTGACTAAATTTTGTTAGCCAAAAATGGTTTTAACCAAAGAATTAAGTATGTCACAAGAATGACAAGTCTGATATTTTATTTTCAAGGTCTACTCTATATGTTGTTATAGATGAGTTGGATTCTGCATTTCTGTTATTTTTGTCTATATTTGTGCTACATATTACGTCATCTATCTTCTTCAATAGTAATTTTCGTTTCCATAATGCTTTTCGATATCATATATTTTAATATATATTACCTGTACTTACCTTAAAGCCACATTCCATTTTTTTAATTTTTAGGGTCCGCTGTCTGTCCGTCTCTTACTTGGCTATATCGTGTGAACCATGATAGATAGACAGTTGAAAATTTCACAGATGATATATTTCTGTTGCCGCTATAATAACTAAAACAGAATAAAATAAATATTTAAGAGGGCTCTCATACTACAACGTTTTTTTTTTTCTGTCACTGTCATTCTTCAAGCCTGGATGGTATTTTATTAGAGATTTATTCTATGAATCTGATAGCATATAAAGCTATTGCTTAGGTTGGTCAAATTCTCTAAGGGCTATCTTGTTTCACGCCCCTTCTGGCATTGCATTTGCTTAATAATAAAAGTAATTATTATGAAGTTCAAGGTCAAAAAGTTATTCTGAAAATTACAGAGACAAAGATTTTAGTTTTTTTTTGTAATATTTAATTATCATGTACATTTTTATATTAGGTACTTATTTATAATGTAAAAGATCTAAGATTAAACAATCTCGACATGGTATGAAGAATGAATGACAAAGAAATCGAAGCTATTCCCTATAGGACTACAATATGTGATCTAATAAATAAATATGAGACAACATATGTGATCCAATGCTGAAATCCCTAATTAAGTAGGTAGCGTAGTACCAACTTAAGTAAAGCACTTGTATTCTAGGAATAAAAAACGCAGGTACCACAATACCTACTTATTTATTTATTGAAAATTCTACATTCGAGAAGATTTAGAAAAAACCAGGATACGATCCTGGGACCTCAGTCGTCAAAGGATACTTACTATTTTTTTTTTCATTTTCTCAGCCATTTTTCCATCAAGTAAAATACCTGAAGGAGCCTTAAGTCCCCAGAGGTCAATTGTCCGCAAAAAAATCGTTGCTTATCACAACTTTTTTCGAACTAAAGTACAACCTACTGCGGCCAATATGCTTGTTATGGTAAGTTATATGAGCTTTCTAACATGATGAGACTAACATGAACATAATTGGAAATGATAAAACTAAAATACTACAATTGTAACTTATTACTTGATTTGCCAACATTTGGACATTCAAAAATACGGGGACTATGAATCTTGGATTTCATAAACTTTCTAATTTGTTACGGTTTCTTTTGTTTGCTACTAAAATGTTGCTTACATAGAAAATGATGATTAATATTTCAGTCATGGGATGAACAAGCAGCTGAACAAGCACAACGGTACGCGGAACAGTGTCAATATTTAGTACATAACGATAATATGGAACGGGAGTTGCCACATTATGGTTCTTGCGGGCAAAACCTATTCGTCGCTTCTAGCAAAACTCCTTGGTAATTAAGATCTAAATTTATGATTTTATCTAAATAATAATCTATGATTTTGTATAATGGTTTATCAATGACGAATTTATGTCATATGAAACTTGGAATCGGCCATACTCATAATCTTGAATATGTATGTAGAAATATTTCTTCGTTAAAACTTGTATAAAAAAAAATATCGCTATCTAAGTACTAAGATGCATTTTTTTTGTTATATAACAAAAACTTTACGCTATAGGGCAGATGACCCGGTTTGAGGCCCCAGTTTGGGCCATTTGCCTATGCGTTAGTTACATTTAATGCCCAAGAGGGCAAAAAAGGGCCAGTGGTCTGGATGGAAAATAAATATGAATGAATGAATATTAGACAACGTCACATACATTGCTCAGATTCCAAAATAAACTAGTTGAAGGCCCCATATTATGGAGTATCAAAACGAAGATACCGCAACACCCAGGACAATATAGAAAAATTCATTTTCTACATTGACCCGACCGGGAATCGAACCCGAGACCTCAAAGATGGCAACACCTTGAAACCGGCCTGCGAACCATTCTGCTACGGCGGTCGTCGAACAAAACCGAATCATTTGGCCTATTTTGTATTCTTGTTTTGTTTTAGGGCTTCTGTTTTCGTACAGAATCCCTAAAGGGTTGAAATGTAAATTTAAAAGTTACTCTATGTTTAAATGTATGACACCAGTATTTTTTTAACATTAGAAATGAAACTTTTGATTTCAGAAAAATTGACATTGTTAAAACATGAAATCAGTTTCATGTTTTAACAATGTCAATTTTTCTGTAAGGGCCATAGTAATTTTGAGATCTCGAAAACGATAAAAACTTTGTCTTGAATAAGTAGCTTTTGACTTATTCAAGAAAAAGTTTTTGAAGTCGATTAAAAAGTAGATTTATACGATTTTAATCATAAACTTACCACGGGAACATACGAGAATTTTCATCAATGTATATTGGCAAAATTTAGCTGAGTACAATCAAAAGCCCATCAGGCTAAAAAATCTGTCAAATTTGTTCACTTGATTTTTAATCCTAAGGACTGTGATGAGATAGTTCAAAATCAATTGCTATAATTTGACATAGAAATTATTGTAGTTATAGGTTATAATTCATATTCTAACGATACATCGTCTTATGCTGTTATTGGAGAGGCTTTATTAAGTGAACAATAACAGTAAGAATCGAAATTAATCTTTTCGCGATAAAAACACTATAGGTCAAGGTAAATAAGCACTTAAACAGAAACTAACACTTAAATACGCCATAAATTTGAAAATATTAAACTGATAATTGGATACTGATGAATTACATTAAGTCTTGACTCTGTATATATATTTTTTTGTTTCAATACATTTACTTCCCGTTGTAGTTCGAACTCGTCACGATGTTTTTAAAATTAGCTGTAACAATGGACACTATTCGTGATCAAATAATTAAGGATTTCTCATCAAATGGACTATTGAAGTGTATTATAATTACATTGGTGATATTTGTTATTTAAACTTGTTTATATATAAAAAAAAGAAACATACTATTGCGAATGCCTTTAAGATATCTCTACCAGTCCAACCAACAATTTTTTTAATAAAGTTTATTTACACTTAACTAAAGTATGTAGGTATCATTTTGTTCGATAACTTTTTGCCATCTTGTAGGTAGGGACATGTTCTCATTGCTAAAGAAATTTGCACACGTGGTTTTTGCAGTCCTCGCCTGATGTTAATCTAACACTGCCTAAAGAATTCTGAAGGGACCAAAACAGGTGGAAATCTGAAGGTGCATGGTTAGAACTATATAGCGGATGCATAAACACCTCCTAGCCAAACTCTCTTAATTTTTGCTGAGTGAAAAAAGATGTATGAGGTCTAGCGTTATCATTATGAAAAACCACACCCCTTCTATTGATTAATTCTATCCGCTTTCTCTCAACTTCTTGCTTTAATATCATCAGTCCTTCGCAGTAGAATTCAAAATCGATGGTCCTGTCTGGCGGTAACAGCTAATAAAAATCACAGATGAGTACACGGTTCATTAGATTTCTTTCAATGAACTCGTGAGGTATCCAAAAATCCAATTAGTTTGTGTACCCAGCTTTTTCCAAATGAACCAAAACAGATGGTCTATCCCCAGTTTTTCAGGTACGTTGTAACTACTGATATGTCGATCTTGCTCCTCTTTTTCAAAAATGGCATCCATTTTATCCGTAACAGGGCGACCTGAGCGACGTGCATCTTAGACATCAAAGTTTCCGGACTGAAAACGCTTAAAACTAAATTTATTCTACTCTCACAGAAAGTGCACTAGGTCAATAAACGTCACAAATTTTTTTTACCTTTTTTTTGTTTTTTGTAATAAAATTTAAAAAATGCATCGAGTTTCTTCATTAGGTTGATTATTTTTAACAGAAGAAAAACAAATGAAAATCACAAATTTTTCTAAGTTGAATTCGGAGTTATATTCTTTAAAATTTAAACTTTTTAAAGTTACCGAAACCAGCCAGATACAAATGGTATAGGTCAGAAAGATTTTATTACAAAGTAAATAGTAAAAAAAAATATATATATTATACGTGAAATCACTTTGTCCCCAACCTAATATAAATAATAAAAACTTGAGTACCTAATAAAAAAGGGTTACCGTTTTACTACTTTATATTAAAAGATTATTTTGGAAAAGTTTTAATAAAGATACGAGTAGGTGTAAATCTTTTTGTTGTAAGGATTTTTTGATACGTAAATAAAATAAAATAAAACATACTTTTTTCAAAAGGTAATAAAGGTTTTATTTAATTGAAGCTCCATATTGCGACAACACTGTGCTCGAAGTCTAGTTCAAGACTGACCGTATAACAGAATAACACTGCAGTTCATGTTTATTTACAGGTCTAGTTTATGATTCCAATAACTTTGAATACGCTGTAGAAAAATATCGTCAAATCAAACTTGCAACTAGAGTAGTTACATATGCACGTTTCCTCGGTAGACATATATGTAAATATACCGTGAAATTCAGTTAGTCAGTTTATAATTTGTCCCGTTAGACAGTGGCATAGCTACAGGGTGGCAAGTCGGCAAAAAGCCACGGAAGGAGCCGCTGGTCAGAGGAGACCCTTACTCATCACATTTATGATTACGCAATTAATAATAAAAAAGATATCCGATGAATTTACCACGGGCCTCAAACGGTATAGTTACGCTTCTGTCCACAGATCTACGAGTATAGCAATCAAGCACAATTTCAAATTACTCTTGGGTAAATAAATCAATAAACGGACAGTATTTATATTTAAGTTAATGTAAAGGATGGTACAAATGCGGCTTTTCGAATTTAAAACGATGATATTTGAGTTAATGTTATTGAGTTGTAATTCTACTCTGCGTTGGATTATAAGCTATTGTTAAGAGTTAAGTTTGATATATTAAAATTTGAATCAGGACTATGCTTATAATAATATTTAACATCTCAATGACATAAATATGGAAAACATTATAAATAGGTCGTTGCTGGCTCTCAGTTGCCGAAATAAAATACTCTTAAGCGCAACGCATAAGTGGTGGATATTAAACTGTCCGCATCAGAGGTCTACATGAAGGGATAATTAACGATTCAAGCGTGAGATAGACGTCTTAGCTAAATACATAAAATTAACGTCTATTATACACGTTAGCAGCTGTGATAGCAAAAACACGTGACCTTAGAGCTTTTATTGGTTGTTATTAAAGTTCCATACAAATTATTACAAGTAAATTAGTTAAAATTAAAAACGTAAACGAACGGTAGGTAGCTTTATCATTTGAATAACATTGTATGATTATTCACTAGGTAATAATAATTATGGTTTTTTCTTAATCTGTCATTATATAGACTTGCAAATATTATACGTACGTAGTTGGTTGTATTTTAATATCTACATCTGCATAAATTGTTTCAGTTAAAAATAATCTGAGTATTGTATTTATTCCATTTTTAAATTATAAAAATAGCTATCTACAAATACGATCTTTTTTTTTAGATTATGTTTTTAAATATGTATTCTGTGACCGGTACCTATGATTCTATTATGACACTCGCCTTATTAAGAAACACAAAACCAGTATAATAGTTATGAACATCATATTTAAGTGCTTTGTCGTATGTTTGACTGGTAGAGAATACCATTAATGTTAAGCCATCTTGTTGTATCTTGCCAAAAAATATGGGAAATAGACTTTTTTTACATTTATGGTTTTGTACTTATAGTAAATAAGTAAATTATTTTTCTGTTTTTATTTTGATTATAGGTTCTATGCGTTAAAGGTCTGGTTTATTGAATATCAGAAATTTAAATACGGAGTACCAGTACGAGACCTTAAAGCGGTGGGTCATTATACTCAAATGGTTTGGGCCACTACGCACAAAGTAGGCTGTGGATTGGCCTTCTGTGATGGTGGACCTTGGGGTCACTTCTATAACTACGTGTGTCATTATTGTCCCGGGTAAGTTTTTTATATTATCTTAGGTATTACAAGTATAAGAAACATAAACAAATGTACGAGAAAAAACGATACTCGTAAGAAAATGCGTTCAGAAAAGAATTTTATTACAATCAAAGGGTCGTGGTAAATGCAATATATTAAATTGATTGTTGGATTTCATTATTCATTATCATCAGTCTAATGATGTGATGGGTTGCTCCAAGACCCATCACGCAGCTCAATGTGGAATGTTGGGTGTTAACAACTGCAGATTAGGCCAGGCACAAAGACTTGACGTGGCTTCTGAAGCACGGAAGAGCGCGAGATAATAAATTTTTGACTATCCATCCTATGCTCGGTCCTTGCGATAGTTGCCTAAAATTCGTATCACAGGCCGAATGCGCTTACCAATGCTCGATTGACCTCCTTCTCAATACTTTATTGCGCTTATACAAGTATTTTACAGCTATTAGAATAATGTGGGTTTGAAGTCAATGAGAAACAGAACTAGAAAATTATTTGTATGTACATATTTGTCATAGTAAAGTAGGATTGATCAATTAATAAAACTTTATAGATACATATTTTTTTAGAGAGAGGGATAGATAATCTCTACAGTTGTAAGGTAATATTTATATACGCTCTAAAAACATATTGGTTAATGTTTAAAAATGCATCAAAACATACCCATATACAATCGAACATGAAACATCCTCTTATTTTCTTCGGTTATAAAGGTTAGACTTTTTTATGTGAAACCTAAAATTGACTTTTAATAAATAGAATATATTTTCGTCTTAATTGAAAATAATAAGTCACGAAAGGTCTTATTAGCTCGATTAAACGATATGGAGGATGATACATGGTCTTAGTTTTCTGATATGAAAATTAATAAAAAAAATATATTTATTTTCAGTGGAAACATAGACACTCTAGTCCATTACCCTTACAAAGCGGGTAAGCCATGTTCAGATTGCCCAGACGACTGTGTACAGGGGAAGCTCTGCAAGAACTCGTGCCCGCGTCGCGACTACTTCTCCAACTGTGACGAACTTCTAAACACTGTTCCTGATTACTGCAGCCAAGGATATTGTAACGCCACCTGCGAATGCAGTGGTAAAAAAATATATAAGAACCACCCATATTGAGTTTTGGAATTTGAGAATGTTGGCACACACTAATTTTAGTTTAAATCATGTCTGAATTAGTTTTCAATCAAAACTATTAGGGTCGTTGCATATTAGACGGGAGATTCGTCGTGTACTGTGGTCGAGTAACGTTCTGACGTTATATAATATCATATAAAAATGTTTTACATTCTGTTAGAGATCCTCCGCGTTCTAACTCATACTTCCGCGGGATGTTTAACATATCCTCTGCCAAAGCACCGACACTAAATAACATAATCTAACTTATTATATTATATAAATGAATATAGTTGTAATTTTTATTTTCCACGCGACAACAGAATAACTTCAAGCCGTCTAAAATTATTCTTTTCAGTTCTGAGAGTGGTAGCACAGAACTTGCAACAATATAATGTTTATAATATAGGTATATGTTAAAAATAGATGTATAATATAGAAAGAAGTGTAAGTTTTTTTCAATAAAAATCCTTTATTATATAGAAAATTTTACATTAATAGTTTGACTTTATACCGCTTATTAATTTTTTTTACCTAAATAAGTAGACGTGAGTTGGTATCTACTTTAAATGGTTAACTGTTCCATGACGTTTTCAGTCATCTCTATCGCACCTGTTTTATCACTGCCATAATTAAATACTTGAATTTAAAAGCTAATAAAAACTGAGATAAATATTTAGCTACCTGACTGACATGACACTTAGTATGAAGTAAAACTCCTAATGTAAAATGCCTAAAAAATCCAACAAGTTCCTGGTCCTTTCGCAATCTGGTATGAGCACTAAGCTACCCAGGACCTAACAGGGCAGAAATACGCTTGTTACTTTTCGCTACTAGTGACCGTATTTTCATGTTTAGTTAATACACCCAAATAGCCGAAAGAAATATTTTTACAAATAAGAGTTCTGTTAATACTAGGTAAAGATAAAAATATTATATTTGATCAATTTCGCAATGCTATACTGAAAAATATTCTTAATGAAATATGCTTAATAAATCCATTTAGTCCCTGGCACTCTGAGATGGGATTCAAACTTGACCTTTCGCTATCTGAGCGACCGCTCTAAATACAAATACAAATACAAATACAAAATATTTTATTCTGCAAGTAACATGGTAATAATACATTCGATCTTAATATTAGTTTATAACCGCTACATATTACACCAATTTTAGGCACGCAGAATATAGAAATTTATAAAAAGAGCAATTAATTTATATGTCATGAAAATTATTAAATGTACATCACTATTATTTTTCATAAAAATTTATTAAACATGTCCGCTATCATTAAATTTCTAATAAAAGATAAATACATTTTATGTCAGAACAATATGCCTACACCTTTATCATTAATATATACTCGTACTTAACTTTAAACTCTGCAAGCAAAATATTCGTTAATAGAGTAAAAACCTTTCTCTACTAACCACACTTTCAGCTTTTTTACAAACAGAGTGAATGGCAACTCTCTTATGGTATTGGGTATATGATTGTATAATAAAGATGCCATCATATTACAATTTTTGTGGCTTAACATGCTTCTACAATTAGGAATCAGAATTTTAGTTGGGTCTCTACGTGAGTACCCACTAACTTGACAAGATTGTACAAATAAGTGAGGATGTTTTTTAACGAAACAACCAGCTTCTAGAATGTACAAACAAGTTAATGTTAATAAATTAAGTTTTTTAAATAGCGGTCGACAGCTATCACGTGGTTTAGAACCATTTATACTTCGAACGCATTTTTTTTGTGCTATAAAGACTTTATTTGATTGACAGCTGCCTCCCCACAAAATAAGACCATACCTTAAAATGGAAACAACATAGCCATGATACGCCATAAGGGCAGCGTCCGAACCGGCTGTATTTTTAATTACTTTTAATGCATACACAAACTTGTTGATTCTCTTACACACATTTTGAATATGTATCTTCCAGTTGCAATAAGAGTCCATTGTTAATCCTAAGAATGTAATTTCAGATGTCTGTTTTATTTCTTGTCCCTGATAATGTAGCATCAATTTTGGCACATTTGCATTATATTTTGAAAACTGAACGCATTTTGTTTTCGACAGATTAGCTTGTATCTTGTTCGAATTTAACCATGTCATTACATCGTCGATACTGTAATTTATCGAATCAATATATGAAATGTCACTTTTTTTATTTTCTGGTATAATTACACAGATATCGTCAGCAAATAAAATATATTGGTGATTGTTAATGTCAGGTAAGTTATTTATATAAATTAAAAATAGGACAGGGCCCAGTAACCACTGAGCTACCCAGGATGTCAGTGGATTTTTGAAGCATTTTTCATTAAGGATAGAGATACAGGTGTTTGAAAAATTGATCAGTCCTGTTGTCCTGGGTAGCTCAGTGGCAACAGCAGTCGCCCGGATTACGAAAGGTCGTGGGTTCGAATTTCATCTTAGAGTACCTGGGACTGATGGATTTTTTTAGGCGTTTTTAATCAAGAATATTTTCCAGTGTATCACTGTGAATGTTTAATTGATCAAATATTGTTCGGTTAATGACCGAACACTGCATCATATGCATTTTACGTAGTTTAGGTAAATAAGCGCGGCTCGTGGTGAAAAGTAGGTCACCGCCAGCCGGGGTGCGTGGTCGGAACACCTCCTCGTGCGCCTGCTACAATGGATAATCAGTTCCCATTGGGAGCGGATCCGCCATTGTCGCGGGCCGGTGTACCCCGGGCATAGGGAAGGATGAATTCAGCATTAGCTGATTCATCGGTCCCTATGGCCAAGAGTCCGACACTGGGGGCTCGGCGGGCGTCTTGGACATATTCCAAGTAGCGGCCGCCGAGGGGGGGGAGTCCTTCGGGACAGGGGAGGGGGGGTCGCTGGGTTGGGGCTTCTGTGCCCTCCATCGTCTTGCGCGTAGGGGGGAGGTAAGGTCCACCCAGGACCACGTGTGGGGAGCCCAATGAGGGCTAAGAGGTTGTTCCGCGCCGGCGTCCTGGCAGTAAGTCGGGTAGCGGCGGCGCGGATCGGAGGCTCGACCGGCGTCCGGGACGTATTCCCGGTAGCGGTGGTCGAGGACGTCGTGACTCGCGGAGCATAGGGGGTGGTAAGGCCTCTTGTGGGCCGCGACTTGGGGCGTCGTTGTTGGTAGTGGGCGGAGGGTCGGTGCGTCGGGTGGGCGTGTGCGGTCTAACCCGCGCCTGCACGACGTACTGACATAAAAATGGCTCTACTGAGCCACCTCCGGCCACGCTCGTTATCCCGTACGTGGTGCGGGACCGAGGGCCGCTGCCTGCGGGCGGGGGCCAAGAGGAGCCAACCTCACTAAAAAACCAAAGAGGGAGATGGGAGTTTGGGTGCCTCACCCGCAAGAGGCAAAAATTATGAAAAGGTTGGTAGACAAAAATAAACTACCTCCGGAGGGTACCCGATGGCCGGGAGAATCCCTCCCTGTTGCCGGTGATGGCGCAAGCGCGTCAACACCGGCAACAGGCTGCACACACTCGGAGGAGTGCACAAGCCAATCACAGGAGAAGCTGGCTCCGAAAAATAACAGCCGAAACGAAGTTGAGGAAGAGGAGATGGACGGGTCGAGCTGCCAGTCGTCACCCATTTTGGCAGCCGGACAGAAACGTCCAATAGATAGAGTGGATAGAGAAGGGGATCCAAAGGAGTCACCAGTGACAAAGGTGGTGGCAGCGATGAAGTCGAGGGTGAAGCCCACGACTACACCACGCCGATTGGACCCTGACGTGGAGTATCAATCGGACAGCACGGAAGAGAGTGTCGTCCGACTGAGAAGTAAAGAAGGAGACGATGAAAACAAGAGACGGGAAGGAAACGTAGAAGGGACAAGAGAGGAGAGTTCGGAAATCGTAGTGGTGGAGGCCAGCTCCGATGCTGGTCAAATCAACGATTCTTCCAGCATGGAACTGACAGGAGAAGAAGAAGAGACGGATGAACTGGACCCCGATCTCATGGAAATAGAGGACCTGAAAGAGAAGGCAAAGAACTATATCGAAAGATTGGAACGAGACAGAAAAAACTCGGTCAGAGACATCATAGATGGGATGCAGGATGTGCTGGCCGTAGTCTCGGAGATGAGAGGAGTGTCTGAGAAGGAGAAAAAGGACTTGGCGGTCACCATCAGTGAAGTGGAGGAAGAGGTCAACATACTGGCCTCCATAATCAATACAGATGGGTTGACCGAACTCTACAGAAAGTATGTGGCCACCAAGGAAGAGAGGAGAAAACTGAAGAGGGAAAACCTGAAGATGAAGGAGGAGAAGAAAACTAACGAAAGAAGGATAAAGAGAATGAGGGAAGAGATAGAGCACATGCACAAGGAGATGGACACACTAAAGACAGAAATGGCGGCTCTCAAGGATAGAGCCAGTAGTGATGTCATACCGGAGCGTGTGACAGAAGAACTGAAGAGGTCCCTCCTGGAGTCCGTCGGTACGCTGGTCAGTGCCAGGTTCGCCGGACTCGAGGAAAGATTATTACCGGCGCCGACCCACCGCCCTCCCTTGGCTACCGATAAGCGAGTTGCGACAGTAGCCAAAGGAAGAAGGGCGATAACTACGGAAGGACAGAGCCCTCACCCATCTTCGGTCAACGAAGATGAGGAGGAGGGCGAAGGATGGAAGAAGGTGACAAAGAGGAGACGGAAGGGGAAAACCTTCTCGGATGCGGTTCAGCAGCGCCCGCCTACCCCACACACAACTGCCTCTACGCCCGTAACACCCAAAGGCGGAGGGACGGGGGAGATAAGTGCTGAGAAGGGAAGACGACCTCCTTCGACGCCGCGCACACCTGCGACGTCGAAGAAGAAGAAGAACAGGAAGAAGAAAAATGGGTGGCCAAAGATACGCGTGCCTAAGACCGCCGCGGTGAGCGTGTCGATCGCCCCTGAAGCGAAGGAACGGGGCGTCACATATGTTGACGTGTTAATGAAGGCGAGACAGGCCATCAAATTGAAGGACCTGGGCATCGAGGACATGGGACGACGCGTGTCGGCGTCGGGTGCCAGATTGTTTGAGGTGGCCGGAGAGGATAAGGGGCTGAAGGCCGACCAACTGGCAGCCAAATTCCGGGAGGCAATCGGGGACGATATAGTGGTCACCAGGCCAGTGCGCTGTATGGACGTGCGGGTAACTGGCCTTGACGATACCGTCACGGAGGAGGAGGTGAGAGCGCGTGTAGCAGAGGAGGGAGGATGTGCCCCGGAGAGTGTACGAGTGGGCCCGATCCGGACAGGCTATGGAGGCATGGGCGTCGTGCACCTCAAGGTCCCGGCCGAGGCGGCCAAAACGCTGATCGTGAGAGGGGTCAGAATTGGGTGGGGGAAAGTGGGCATCCGTGCGCTGCCGCCACTCCCAGTGCGCTGCTTCAGGTGCATGGGAGTTGGTCACGTGCGAGCGCAGTGTCCGGACACGGTGGACCGCACTGGGATTTGCTTCCAGTGCGGGGAGGCGGGCCACCGAGCAGCGGGCTGCAATAGGGAGCCGCGATGCGCGGTTTGCGCTAGCGCTGGACTCCCTCACGGACATCGGATGGGCAGTAAGAGCTGCCATCCCCCCACGAAGAGGATTAGGCCGGTCCCCAGTTCCTGGGTGCCGCGTGCGGGACCGCGCAACACCGGCGCGGGCGAAATGGACACACACTAGTGTGCCCACTAGTCCGGGAGGTGTAGCGCGGAGCGGCTTCGCTACTCGCCGGCCCCTCAACATCGTTCTCCTATGAGAACCTTGACGAGGGGAGGGGATGCGAAGTAAGCGGTCCTGGGAAGCACCTCTCTCCAGAGGGGAGAGGGGGGGCGACCCCATCTCGCGCCGGGGGCCCGGGCCCCCGCACACACGTTTAGTGTGGGCGGGGTCCCGGGCCTCGGCTGTGCCGCCGCCCCGGCGCCGCGCCCTCGGCGCCGCCGGGTCGGTCGTCGGGTGAGTCCTCGGACGAATTCGACGGCTGGGCCCGGCGGCGGGGAGGGCGCGGCGGGCTGTGGTGGGACCCATTGGGCCCTGCCACGGTCAGCGACGAAGGGATGGAGTCGGCTGCGGCTCGGCGGGGCACTCACCGCATTGACGCAATGAGTTGATGTGAGGAGGGGCCACGTCGACCAGCGGCCGACACCATGGCAGCGGCGGGAACACTTCGATGCCTCGCTCAAAAGGGGCGCCAGAGGGGCGCCCGGGGCTGCCCGAGGGGTATAGCCCGAGGGGGAGGCCGAGGAGCGAAGCATACGAAGTATTCGGCAGACGGAAAAGGGAGTATAGATAGCACCGTTGCGCATCTTTACTCCCTAACGGGGCGAACAAAGGGATGGCCACCCTGCGTTCATTGCACAACCCCATCTGTCTGAGGAGGGTTCCTCGGAACTACCCGGGAAACCTCCTAACCGCAGAAGGAGGACTTCGGTCCCAACGGTCCGGGTTCACTTGGGACTTACGTTTTAAGATACCAGGTGCCGGACCACGCGAGAGGGTAGTACGGGGGGTTTTGCACGGTAGGCCCACTGCACTGGACCGCCGTCCCTTGCAGTGGGAGAGCCCGGGTTCAGTCGGCCTCTAGCCCAGGTCGATGGCATGTTAAGGTCAGTTCCCCTCGGTATAAAAAAAAAAAAAAAAAAAAAAAGGTCACCGCCAGCCAGCCTGTAGTTACATATGTTTTTTCAGCAGAACATTTCGATCCCCGTTACCGGTTGGATGTTCTCTCAAACAATTATCTCATTTATCATTAACATTAACATTTAATAAACTTAGTAAACAATATTAACTTTAAGCTATAATGAATATAATATTTATATGGGTAATGTCTCCTTAAACTAATGAGAATTTTTATGGACGTTTGTGCAACTGGCTGTAAGTTTAAAATTAATAGCGGCAATTTGACATATTGGGATAACCTAACATGAACCCGTGAATCTGTAGGTTTATTCAATCGCCGAAGAGCTTTTTTAGCACCCCTATGTGTTTCTGTAGATTTTTGTATTAAATAATATTTATTATATTTAGTCAATTTCCCATTCAGAAAGCTATACTGAAAAATGCTTAAAAGTCCACTTAGCCCCTGGCACCCTGAGATTTGATTCGAACCTATGACCTTTATTTTTATTTAAATTTAAATATTTGTAAAAATATTCTTTCGGCTGTTTGGGTGGATTGCCTGAACATTGATGAGAATACGCTCTGTAGTAGCGAAGAAGTAACAGGTGCTTGAAAGATTCGTCAGTCCTATAAGGTCCTGGATAGCTCAGTGGTTAGAGCAGTCGCTCGGATTGCGAAAGGTGCCAGGGACCAAGTGGATATCTTAAGCATTTTTCATGAAGAATATTAAATATTTTTTTAAAATTAATGAGAAATTGTAAATTAAAGAAATATCTACTTAATCATGTATAGATAAGTGTAAATTGAGCAATATTTAGGAAATATACAAAGGTAAAGATATTTACTCTTCGTAATTTCGTTTTAAGAAACCTTCTAATTATTAAAAATATGTAAATGTGTTATCTCTTGTGTTATCATTATAAAAAAAAATCTCTTAATTATAGATCATCATTGTCATCAGCCTAATGTTTTGATGGTTGGGGCTCAGGCTTTGCCTATGATTGGAATGAAATAATAAGGGTTTGTCTGTAATAATGAAATAATAAGGGTGCGAAATAACTCTTTCTAAGTGCTATGTCATGTATTGTATGTTTTTTTTATGCTTTTATTCATTTCATCATTATTGTATATCTAAATTTGAAAGCTTTTTATACATTAATTTTTAAAGCAATGTTTCTATGTCAGTCAGAGCGGGGGCTGCAGCTAACCTAGCTAATAATCTGTTAGAAAAGGTGTAACAATTTAAACCTGATAAAATAAAAGGCTAAATATTTTTTGAAAGGGCATCTTCGTAAAAGAGCTGCTGTCGGTAAATTGTCTTTATGACAGTCAGAGGAGCGTACGAATGCGACCAATTCATTGTTTTTGTTTACGTTATGCAAGGGGTGACTGCTAGTGCAGGTGAGTCAGCAGGTGGGGTAGCCACCAGTGCGGAACACCGCGTCTGTTCCTTTGCCCCATTTATAGTACTGTGTAACGTACAAATAGGAAGATATAAAAAATTGCTAACATGAAAAAATTAAGGTCGTTGTAAATTGATGTACTCAAATAATTTCAACCTACCAAGGAAGTTGTTATACTCGTAATAAATCTAAATATAGTATGTTTATTTATAACTACATAAAAAGTTCTTAGTATCGTTTGTACTAAAATGAAAATATTAAAGTATTATATACCTAATCGGCCATAACCATATACTTAGTTATACCTAAGGTTATTTTAATGTTATTGGCTATGCTTTTAAAAAGTTTAACCTAAAACACACCTGTTTTCGTAAATAGCTCTCTATTAGTATTCCATGGCGTCCCCGATTGAGTGAACAGCATGTTTCCCACCCCCACCACGTGCCCGACCCATTTGTAATGCAGCGCGGGCGCGGTCCGGCGCGCGGGCATTGCGGCGCCGGCCGTCGCGCCTCGCGACCATCTGCACCATAGGATAATCATCTCATCCGGTGACTCCGCCATGGTGTGCGACGACGGCCTCCATGCCTCATCGCCCCACGGACGTCGCAAGTCGCTCCGAAGACTCGCATCCACGCGTGGTTTCAAGCCGCGACATCCTAACGAATACGGATGGATACGCGTCTTCGAAGGCCTCGAACCTTATGCCATTGATGCACCAAGCAAGCTCGTGAAAGTCTCACTTAGTACAACAGTTGAAGATGTAAACGAGAAACTCGGTTTTGGCGAAGAACTCACGTTATGGCTTCAGATTGGTGGAGATAAAACGAGGCGTTTGGAAAAGGGCGAATTTCCTCTTCGTATACAGGAGAACTTTCTGATCACCCATGGATGGAAGTCGGAAGCGCGACGACAGAGACTGGCAGTTGACCCTGAACTGAAATATACAATACGATGGTGCGCTGGGCCTTCCGACCGATCTGGCGGGATGTTGAGATCCGGTACTATAAATATTTTAAAAGGACACGTCTTCCCACAATGGAAGCCTCGGCCGGCTCATGTCATCGGTTCTCAATTGCATTCTTTAGGTATGTGTTGTTTTAAATTAGATTAAAAAATAAGATATTAACATTATATTATAGATTAATATAATTTTTCAGGATCAAATTGGGAAATGTTAGAATTAAGTGGAGGAAGTATAGAGCTTTGCCCGCCGAAAGCACAAAAATTGGTGATCTGCGTCAAACCTCGTTGTCAGGGTAACCAAATATCAGGAGAAGCGTCTATGAATCACGTATTCCTTGGATTCAACACCGCATGGGAGCGCAACATGTGGTTCTGCTGGTTAAAAGAGGTGAGTGCCTATTATTAAACAATAGTATTACACAATCACTTTTCACGACTCAATTGAGTCAAACAATTGTTTGTGTTACGTATTTAAACTCAATGTGTAGTGACTCTCTTAAATCTACTAGATTGGATTTCGCTAAACGGTAGTTTGATAGGTAATGAAAAAAAATTGCTGCGTTGTTATTTGATCTGTACGTTCCGTGAAATATGATAACTGTTTGTAGATGAATTAGGTTTTGATTCCGGTACACTTCTTAAGCTAACGAACCATGATATGAATGGCGGCAAATTGGTGGTAATCTCTTGAAGACTATCAAGTTTATGACATTTCATAGTAATATCATTGACTATTTATATGCCAATGTGTTCAGGGCTGCACAAAACCTAATATATATTCATCAGTTTAATGTGGCGAATACCGATGCTATACAATATACATTCCGTTAAATTTTAATAACAAAACAACACATTTTCGTACTAATTACAAATAAAACCTTTGTAAAATGCAATTTATATAATACTAGCTGTATTCTCGTGACTTCACCGGCGTAAATAACATCCTATATCACACGCGTATGATGTAGCTTCCATTAGGTAAAAGAATTTTTATTATCGAATCGATATTTTCAAACAAACAAAGTAAGAAACTTACCTCTTTATAATATTGGTATAGGTTATTCCAATTAACAGTAAACTTTCGAATCTAACATTGATTTCTAGTCAGTGAAATTTTTATTAGAAGCGGTTGTTGAAAAAATAATAATTTGACTGCTACTCAAGATATATTTTGTGAAATAAATTAAATAAGATTCAGCCCAATTGAAAATTAGATTTCGAGTTAGTCTTATGAAGATTATTGATATATATTAAGTCATGTTTAAAATCTGGTGATTAAAAATAGTTTTTTACATTTTCAATTAATATATTAAATTATGAAAGTAATCCTAATACGTAATACGTCCTAATTGACAAAGAATTTGATTCATTTTTATTACTAACAATATATGTACGAGAAATTGAATGTATAATACTAAATAAAAGTGTGTTAATTATAAATTACTCGTTGCCCTGAAAGAAATGTCACGGTCGAGATGTAGAGAGCGTGCATACGTATAGCGGTGCTGAGACAGATAGAGATGCTCAGTCGTTATTAGCATTAGTGAAAAGTTGCACAGTTTACACAGAATTCAAAAGATTACAATACTGCAAAATCGGAAGACATAGGAGTAACTTCAATATATCCTTTAGCGGCGAAACAATATTTGATCAAGGACGATTAGTTGACAGTTCAAAATTCGTGATATGAATATTTAAGGAGCCCGTGTTGTGTTTGGGAATAACAATGCTAAGTTCGACGGCCCCGTGCCTAGACACCGCGACAAAGTCAACTGACTTTCAGTTACCTTTGATATGTCGCCTGATGTAAGGTAGTGGCAGTGAGGAAACGAAACACGCGGTGTTGTGTCAGTAATGGTGGACGGCAATAAAGTGAAAATGACTGAAGAGGATAGCCTGGATATGTTTAGTGAACCTGTTAGTGAATTATTTTTGGACAGTTTGGAGCCCAACTTGTTACTGAAAGACAAAAATGAAGCTCTGGTACGTAGGATAGTTAATTAAAATATTCAACATATAACATTCAAGGAAAAGAAAATATTAAGCTGTCAAAGTTTAAAAAATATGTTTTGACTTCGAATAACGTCAATTCAAAACCTCGTATTGATTCAAAAACCTTGAAATCATCGAAGATATCTCAAAGGTATTGCTGTTATAAAAGCGTCGATCGTTATCTTTATGGCGTTGTTTTTATTTTACATACAAATATAAAACAAAGTAGTGCTAATCGTAATATAATGAAAAATAACTGATACGCAAAAAAATACGCTGATGGCTGAATTGCTTAAAAAAAAAAACAATTCAAAAGAGATCTATCATCGTAAACTTGTAATCAGTGTCAGTTTATAATAGTTTATAATCTATCCCGTCTGGTAACATTAAAAATTATTGTTGGTTTAGGTAAGATTATGTAACTTGACGTTGATGTCAAAGTCAAAAAACTAAATTTTTATTAAAATAAACTTATTAAAAGTACTTTGGAATCGTCCAATATTTCTCAGGACGTCTTTTGGCTGATATTTTTGCAGTTGCAGAACATTACGGACTATTCTTTAGTGTTCTATTAAAGTGTTTGTTATAAAGAAAAAGAAGTGAAGTCTTTCTTATGAGAAATAATTATTATTATATAGTATATGAAGTAAAAAGTTTGATCCTTTATACTTTACGAAAATTGCGCAAGGATGTATAGTCGTATACGCAATATGGCATAGTCGAATCAAATATAGAGAAGAAGTGCAGAATCGGGATGATGACTAATTTTTGTTTGTTTGTTCGTTATGTCAATTATTTATTTATGTTTTGCGTAATCAATTAATTACGGCGACATATTTGCGAGTTGAAATGTCGCATGACGTTACGCGTTTGTACATTCACTACAAAGATGTAAGTGAGCCATAAAAATAGGTATCTTATATTTTTCTATTATCTGACTGACGGACTTTTGTACCCGTTTACCACAGACTATGCCCGTGTAAATAGTCCATGTCATTTGCATAGTAGATGTGAAAAATTTCGGAGCCTAAATTTTTCCTCTTTATATTACTTTAGATTGTTAGAATTTATTAACAACTTAATATAAATTACCAGCTTTTTGCCAGCGGCTTCACTCGTGTGGTCCTGTATTATACATAAATAAACCTTCTTGTTGAATCGCTCTGTATATTAACGAGAACATTAAAATGCATTAGAATCCGTTGTGTAGTTTAAAAGATTTCAACTTATAGTCCAGACAGCGGGAAGGGTCTTTGTTTTATGCTACGTATAGATGGTATTTTTGCATAAATCACTGAAAATAATTATAGCTCTACTAAGTAACACTTGTTGCTTTCTATGAGAGTCAAGAATTTATGGTTCACTGCTCATCAATGAACGACTGGTAATGAAATGTCTGATAAATGTATATTATTACAAATTTACCTATTGTCTCTCGTAGCTGTATTTGTGTTTTGTAATCTACAGCAATACCATAGACAGAATTATATGATAGTTGTTACTAATCTATTACTCTAAATATATTTCGATGCTCCTCTAGGATAATAATTCCAAGTGTATGACACCGAAGAATATCTATAGGTTATAGGTTTTTATAATTGTGTACAGCAACGGCTATTAACCTTTTTGGGCTGGTGACCCAAAATGTCAATGACGTGTTTTTATCTAATATTATTAATAAAGTAAAAGGATTGCCAAAATGTCTGTAGTTTGCTTGAATTCATATCATTATAAAATATTAAACATTTAACATTATCTTAATATACCATGTTGAAATATTGATGATTTTGCTATGAGTTAGCCGTAGGTTGCTGCTATAAAAAAATAAGCAATATTGAAACTTTTTTTTATTGAATTATTTATAGGCTACTCAAAGTACGCAACCGCCAAATGTTTTGGACCTCAGTGGAGGCGGTGGACGTGGTACTCTGGACTCCGCGCTCGCACAATATGCTACTGGACCTTTTGCAGTGCGTGTGTTACGGTTACAAAACAACGCGCTAACATCACCGCCTGCGCAACTGTGGGACATGCAAGCACTCACACATTTGGACATCAGTGATAACCGCATCACCGACCTACCTGAAGAAATATGCCAATTAACTCAGTAAGTCTCCTCACAGGAATACAGGAAGAAAATATTATCAGTGCACATTATTTATTATGGTTTATTGCCGTTGGTAAATGTTATACAGAGAAACACACTATTTAATTAAATTTATATATTTTTAAAGAAATATCTATTAACATTAATAATTATTCTAATAGTAGTGAACGAGCTGTGAAATGAAATGAAATGAAATGAAAATATCTTTATTCAAGTAGGCTATTACAAGCACTTTTGAATCGTCCAAAAAACTTTTACCCTACCACTTGTTCAGGACGTCTTTTAGCTGACAAGAAGAACAAGCGAAAGAAACTTATCAGCTTTTTATCATAAGTAATGACATTTACATAAATCATGTCATTACCAAAATAATATGTATTATCAATTTATCACAATAGTAAATACAACTTTCAAAGTCTATAGGACATAAGTTGAACATATACTTAGTCTTTATAGAACAAAGCGAAGGCTATTAATTCCATGCATTGCGATCCTTAAAATAATCATCAACTTTATAATAGCCTTTACTCACAAGTATATTCTTTACATGAATTTGAAATTTATTTATGGGTAGGTTAATTACATTTTGTGGAACTTTATTGAACATAGCAATACATTTACCCAGAAATGATCCTCTGGTTTTTTGAAGTCTGAAGCTTGGAACGGCAAGTTTATCTTTATTTCTTGTGTTAAGATTATGAACACTACTTTTTTTTGTGAAGGAATCGTAATGTTTTCTTGTGTACATAATATTCTCATAGATGTATTGAGAGGCAACAGTCAGAATATTTATTTCTTTAAATATTTCTCTGAGAGATTCCCTAGACCGTAAATTATATATAGCACGGACAGCTCTCTTTTGTAATATAAAAACATCCTGAATGCTAGCCGCAGAACCCCATAACAATATACCATACGTCATTACACTATGAAAATAACTAAAATATACCAATCTTGCCGTTTCAACATTTGTCAAGAGTCTAATTTTCTTAACAGCAAAAGCAGAACTCAGTCTACTTGACAAGCTATCAATATGAGGATCCCATTGCAGTCGGGAATCTAGTGTGATACCAAGGAACTTTGTCGATTCTACTAACTCAACTTTTTCACTATTTACATTTATAAGTGTACTGACATGCCTCACATTAGGTAATGCAAACTTTATGCATTACGTTTTATTTGAATTGAGCTTTAAATTATTATTATCAAACCACTGTAGAACGTTGTCGAGAGCATTATTTACATCGTCAAAACAATCATTACCCCTCTCAACTTTAAACAGTAAAGAGGTGTCTGCAAATAATACTGTCTCGCACAAATTCTTCGTAAAGTGAGGAAGATCATTTATATAAATTAGAAAAAGCAATGGTCCTAATATCGATCCCTGAGGTACGCCCATAGTAACTGGTGCCCCTGCAGATTTCGCTTCACGATTTGTCAAAATCCGTCATTGATCTCAGTGTACAGTATAGCTACTGTACCTTTAATAAGTGTAATATGTTCTTAATTTTTTGTTTGTGTTAAAAAAAAGAGAGTGAGAAACGTGTATAGAGATAGAGAAATTTCATAAAATATCGATATGTCGAGTTCGATATATGTCGGTTACATTCGATAGTGATATATCGCTTCACAAAGCCGACATATCAATATTTATAGATATATTTTTTGAATTACACAATTACAAATTATAATAATAAACCATTATTACAGAATTCAAAGCAAAAAATCAGTGTTACAAAGTATAATATCAGTTTTATAATATCACATGTGAAGATGCCGTTGGATGTTAAAATTAGGACAACTGATACACATTTACCCTTAAGATTTCATTCGATATTAGGTTTCGATATGTTGATTCTTTCGATATAGATATATATCGGTTTTTGATATGTTGTTGCATCCCTAAACGTGTATATGATCCACCGTTAAGAACACAATATTAAATTTTTTCCTCTATAAAAAATACATTTTAAAACATACTTTGTTCAGAGCAGCTCGCAGTTTAAGTAGCTTAAACTCTAATATTAGCAAAGTTTGAAGCAATAGGATAGCGTAGCAGGCCTAATACACACTTCGACATAAATAAGTTTATTCTCATCATTCTTAGTGCGATCCTCAAAATGTATAAAATAAAGACGATTTCAAATAAACAAGTCGACATTTAAGAATAATATACACATATTAATACTCGTATCTATAGTCGAGAGAAGACATATTTTAGAAAATGTCAATATTTAAGCAAATATTTTTAAAACAATAAACGTCAATTTGAATGAAATAAGAACTTTTAAAACTAATAATGACAGTATTCTAATTATTAAATGTTCTTACATTCTCTTTTTTTCATTCATTCAATCTCTTGATAATATCGTAAAAAATATCTGGAAAATAAATATTCATAATTAAATATGCTTAAAATCTACTTTGTCCCTGGTTATCTAGGAACCGAACCCACCTTTCCGACCTTTCGCAATCTGGGCGACTGCTCTAACCAGAACTTAACAGGATTTTCGAATCTTTCAAGCACTTATTACTTTTTCGCTACTACAGAGCGTATTTTCATCAATGTTAAGGCAATCCACCCAAAAGAACTAAATATCTGGTTGGCACAAAAGTAATGAGACACTTGGTTTAAGTTTTTACTTTTTTATTATTATTACAATAAAAAAAGTTTAGTCAATGATGTAATTACCATTAGTATCTAAGACTTCTTGCCAACGATCCGGCAAAGTTTGGATGCCTTTTGCCCAGAACTCTGATGGCTGTGCCTCGAAAAAGTTGTTCAACTCCGCCTCTACGTCAGAGAAATCATTAAATTGTTTACCCCGCAAATGCTGTTTCAGGGCTCTAAACAAATGATAGTCTGATGGGGCGAGGTCTGGGGAATAAGGTGGGTAGGGTATCGTCTCCCAGCCCTAGTTCTCTAACTGCCGGCGAACCACAGATGCGACGTGAGGTCGAGCGTTATCGTGCAGTAAAACTACATTGACTCGTCTTCGTCGTTTTTTCTTGATAGCGGCAGATAATTTGGTAAGCTGGGTTGAATATTTGTCAGCGTTTATAGTTTCATTGTGTAATAGCTCATAAAACAGTATGCCTTGCGCATCCCAGAAACAGCAAAGCAGAATTTTTCGGCGGTTCTTTTGACTCGGCTTCGGTTGAGTTGGTGGCGTTTCTTCTCGAGGCAGCCAAAAAGCACGACGTGTATCGTTCTCGTAATAAATCTATGATTCATCTCCAGTAACCAGATCTGACAAAAACTCTTTACGTCGGGGTCGCAGCAAAAGTGACTGACAGATAGCGACACGGACTGCACGACTGGCGTCTGTAAGGTTGTGCGGTACCCACCGAGCCAAAACTTTACGATAACCAAGCTCATGCAGATGGTGTTCCACGGCGTGGTGACTGCATTTAAGTGCTTCCGCTAATTCACGAGTGGTAGCATCCGGATCCAGCTGTAGTTCGCGGCGCAAATCGTCATCATTCACTGCAGGTGGTCGCCCTGAGCGTGGCTGATTTTCAAGGCTCCTGTCTCCTGATTTAAAACGGTCAAACCATCCGGGACACCGTCGCATGGCTTGTACTTCCAGCGCCTAATGCATTGTTGATATTGTCAGCCGCAGCCCGCGCACTGTGGCCTAACAAGTACTCGTATAAGTATAGTATTCGAACTTGTCGCTCGTCCATTTTTCTTCAAACTGACTAAACAAATCGCGAGCGCGGCTTTATATACCCTACACCAGAAGTACCTAGAATGTTCTACAACATTCTAGAATATTATCGAAAAAATTGATTTTAAAAAAGAAATGTTATAGATTTTTCTAGTGTGTCTCATTACTTTTTTGCCAACCCAATACAAATTGTGAATGTAAAATTGGCCAAATATAAAAATTAAAAATATCTGTTTAAGTAATTACTTTTACTCGACTATAGATACGGGTGTAAGTACTTAAGACATCAACGCGCTATCGACAATGGGCGCTCAAATGAATATAATAATTGTTTACGGGGAAATTGTAATCTTTTCATTATAATTATCAAATGTAATTATTATATACCAACAATGTATTTTTAAAAGCTGGGAAAAGAAAGATAATCTTCTCTAAAATATGTCTTTATTTTTTAGAACGCAGTATAAATTATGTTATTTTTGAACGCATCTTAATAATAATGTCATTCCTAGACAAGTCCCTCTCTTTTCAAAGAACAAGATCGATTTTATTTCTGTCTAATCGAATTTGTTACAAATCTTATATTATTTACGAACCATATAAATCCGTGAAAATTATAAAACTTACATTAGATTACTAATATAATTCGATGTTACTTAGAGGAAAATAGTTTATTTATAATGAAATTAAAAACTAATGATTATTCATAAGAATTCATAAGAATCGTATCAAAATTTTTAGACAATTATGTGTAGACGTGTTTCTACGCAGACCGTTTTGTAACTTTGGCGGCGATTTTGTATTATCTTCTGTATTATGGGGAGCATACTAGGTTCCATGGGCAGTATAGAATTGAGGTCTGGAGAGAAATACCGGATTCTCTGGATTTATTAGAATGAGACTTAAATATAAATAAAGACCTAATTATAAGGGGTAATTAAGTCGAGACATTAGGAGGAAACAATATTATGTGTACATTTTAATAAGTAATGACACATCCGGGTTAAATGGCGTAAGAGAATACTGCTGTAATTGTCTTATTGGTCGATGTACACTGGGATGCTGTGCTCATATAATGACCATAGTTTGATATCTTGGATGGGCCAGACACGAATAGAATGTAGCTGCTCCTGCAGCATTCCGTGATGAGGTATTATTCACTAGAGTAGTAATAAAGAAAAGAAAAATCAACATGTGGTCTTGCTATATCCTTTTGAAATAAGTATTTTTACTACTACTTTATATAAGTTATAATGTAAGATAGAAAAGTAGAGCTATTGAGAGCAATCTTAAAAAATCTATTATTATTTTAAAAGGTTCATTGGTTCA